TAGTCGCGGAGTTAGATTTTGAAGACAATGTGTCGATATTATGTTTATGGGTGTTAAAAACTGTAAATAAATCACTTCATATAAATCACTTCATATAAGTGTTACTTCGTGATTTTTATTTTTGACTGGGATTTAGGCGATATCTTGTTCACCTTGGTGCTTCCCCAATCCTCACTAGTCACTATGTAGTATGTATACAACGAGTAGATTGTATATCGTGAGGATTAATGGTTTTTACTTCAAACGGGGTTTGTCAGGCTAGGTGACAATCGCGACACCTTAGCTTGTTCACCCTATGGCGGCTTCCCCACTACGCAGCGTGTTTACGAGTAGATTGCATATAGTGTGGAGTAAAGAAAAGGCTTGGTCAGTTAGTACACTCTTTTATTTGAAAGCCTAATATGGACCATGCCTGCTTATTTAATTTCATCTAGGTTGAGGAAACTTAAGTCAACATATCTCAAAGGCCGTTATAAAGTAAATAACGATTGTGAATTATGACTTTTGTTTGGTAAACCAATGTTACATGTACGGCAAATAGTGGTATTTTGGACTTTGGTGACTGATTTACAACTTTTTCCTAGATTTTTGCTTGCTAGCAAAGACTTCTAATTTGGCACGAGTAATGAGTAGGCTCATAAATGTATGTGCTTCATTAAGGGCGAATGAACGACATTTGATAACCCATACTTGTAATTAAACAATAATTTTTCCATCATGTAAAAACCTTTAATAAACATAAAACTCGCTCTGTTAACCTTAAGGCAATGTGTTATTTGTTAGCAATCGAGTTTTGTTTATGTATCAGTGATCAACTCCTTGTTATAAACTCTCTTTTATTTTCGCCTAGTTGAGAATCATCAACCTTTTCCTAACCTTTTATTTTTAAAAGGCCTTCTCCTAAACTTTTCATTAAGACATTATTCACCATCCTAACAAATATGTTATGAGTAATTATCAAATTCAATGAACTAAGGTCATTACAACATTTTTCATATTCTTAAACTTATCCCTCCACAAAACACTACACTACACCTTATACATAGTTGTACCTTAAACGTAGATTTAAAAATAGGGACTTAAAATTCTGAATAGCAAAAAAAACCGATCTCATGAGATTCATTTGAGTATAAATGTGCATATATTATTATACTATACATACCTTGGTGTCTTGTAGGTTGTACTTGTACCCCATAACATATGATTAGTGATATGCCATTTTTTTTCCTATACAACATTGTATACTATATACAAATACAATATAGTATAGTATAGTATAGACTAGAATATATAGTAGCATATAATATAATTATGAATTAAAAATAAAATAGGTAAGTTAAAAAAAAGATGGACATCGTACAAATAGAAAGAGAGTGGCAGCCTCTCCGACAAGGAAACCTCCGTCCCGCGATAAACGGGGTAGACGTCACGTTCCCCCACCGTGGGTCACCCTCACATGCCACCATGTGATTTCACCTATTTTCCTTTTTTTTTTGGGCTACATAATTTTATTTATTTTTCAAAAAGTATAAAAAAAATTTACGTAAATTTTTAATAGCTTTCAATGCACACATTTGATTATTAATATCTTTAGTTCGTTACATAAAAATAAATTTTATAAGCAATTTAATTTTCACTGAGATAAGGCAAAAGGATCAAAATTTGAGTAAGATTATACTTTGTCCCTTGATCAATAAAATGCATTAGCTCGCTTGCCCTAAAAAAATAATAATAATAATTCTAGCTATTTATGTTGGACTATATAGTTCACTAAAACCAAAAAAAATAAAAAATAATAATAATAATAATAATAATAATAATAATAAAAGAAGAAGAAGAAGATAGTTCTTCCATCACAAAAAAAAAAAAAAAAAAAAAAAAAAAAAAAAAAAAAGAAGATAGCTCTCTAAAAAGAACAAATTATGTCTAGTAATTTAAGATATATTCTTTTTACTCCTCCATTGCTTGTACTACATTCCGTATAATTTTAAGTACGGAATATGCTTATAAAAAAGGGATTATCTATTTTCTAATGGCTTTTTATCCTCATGAATGTCTAGTAGTATAGTCACAATAATATTCTAAGTAATTATAAATTTTAAGCAAGTAAGTTGCAATAAGTAGCGTTATGTATGCTTATTATTAGCTGACTCAAAATGATACTTATAAAGCGTTAATAATGAGCGTGAATGCTTAAAGCCTTAAACTATTACAAATTACAATTACATGTATATCGTGTATGATCTTGCATACCTCTTTAAGCTTTATTTGTACACCTAAAATGTGGGGGCATGAGAGAAGGAATAATTGGGTCTTAACTTGACAATTTTGGATACCTAACACAACTCATTGGCTAAGCCCAACAAAGGTTTGCCCTTTTCTTACTTTGTTACCACCAACTGTTGTGTTGCTCAAAAGTTGTTTCTCCGGCTAAGGCCGATTACTTCACCGGTCAATGCAGGTTTAGGATTAGTTGATTTATATCTATTTTGAAAGTGAATTATTATAGTTTTGAATTTAAAAGTTTAAACCATTATAAGCTCGTATATTATAATATGTATTTATATTTTGTAAATCAAATACCTTTTAACGATATAGTATAGATTGCCCCCATTCTAATTATCACAAAGATTGTTGTATGTGTATTGTCCATACAAAATATTTCAAGTTGCACACAGAACTTGCAAGAACGCGCAGATGCTTATGTAATTAATCAATCAAGTATTTTATTCTACTACGCATTGGATCTCAATCTCTTAGGCAAGGACTGTGTGTTTTGATTTGCCTTTTATTAGACATACTATCGATCAACAATTGATATGCCCTTTGATTCTAAGAATTCATCTGTTGCAAACTGTGTGTTGCGAAAATTTGTAACGAGTGCACATTGCTAGCTAGTGTCATTCAATCCATCCTTAATATACTATTGTATATAAATATATACACGTGATGCGTGTGTGACATGTCATATATATGCACTATCTTAAATTTTATAAATTAATCCATATATATAATATGATAAAGTGTTGAAAGCCTAAGTTACCTTAAATAATAATTAGAGTTGTCACCTACAAGCACCTTTAACTAAATTTGATGGTCTGTTCAAAAAAAAAAAAAAAAAAAAACTAAATTTGATGGTACTAAAAAGAGTTATATTGAGACTTTGCACAGCATGTTAATAATAAGTGAGCATTGTGCATACCCCTTTAACATCATATTTGCGATGTACTAATCATCTGAAAATTACCAGCTAAAATAACTAGTTTTTATCAAATAACTCTTGTAATTAACTTGCTTAACAGTTTCAACATGCTATCAATTTAAACTACCACACGTGGAAGTTCATTTGTCTCAAATCACCGAGGTAGTTGATCGAAATGTTCAAAAGGAATTGGTTGTGTTTGATGAATAACTTAAATTTGAAACCTGAAGCTGATTTTGATTGGTTTATTTTATTAAGTAATACAAGATAATTGTGGGTAGGTAGTTTAGGCAGGATTTTAAATGTAAATGGGATATAAGGGCGTGTTCACTTCAGCTTAATTTCAATTCAGTTCAGTTCAATTTAGTTCAGCTCCAATCAGTTTAGTTCAGCTTTTAATTTCAATTCCTTCTTTCACAAGCTATTCATTTCAGCTCTATTTAGTTCAGTTCAGTTCAGCTCCAATCAGCTCAGTTTAGTAAATGTGAACAAGCCTTAAGTGTCATTTCACCATAAATTAATGAATAAGTTAATTTAAAAAACTCCTAAAAAAAGAGATGTTTCAAAAAAAGCTTATTTAATTCGCGGAATAAGCTCTTTGAATGAGTTTCCCACCAAATACCTCAAATTAGCTCATTTAACAGTTTTTTTATTTTATTTGTTTTTTTAAAAAAAAAATCCTAATATTGGTCAAATAAGCTAATTTTGCTAAAAAAACTGTTCACCAAACATAGCCATTAAAAAGTGAAGGGCTACTATTGGTATCTATGAGTAGTTTAATTTTAGGGTTGTGACCTTGTTGGTTACATTATTGTTAAATTTTTATTTGTTCACCCTCTTTTTATTGAATTTTATTGTTAAGCCTTATTTAAATTGATTGAAATTCATTTTAAAAGACAAAAATTGATTCTACTAATTACATAGTAAATACTTTTTATAAGTGAAAAAATTAAGGCCTGAGTCATGTGTAACAATGTTTTTTTGAAACAAATCAATTCATTAATAAAAAACTATCCCGCATCTACAAACAACACGCATTTGCCTAAAAAAAAAGTAACAACACGCATGACACATGATGCATTCATATATATTTGATACCAAACTGAATTGTTATAAAAAAAATAATAAAGTTTAAATGGACAATCAATCAATTATACCAATTAATCACCAAATAACGATTTATCAACAATAAATTAAATTGTTAATGTTTCATTAGGAAAAAAAAAACTCTAGTTACAATTTTTGAAAACAAGGTTAGATGAGTTTTATTTTATTATTATTATTATTATTATTATTATTATTATTATTATTATTATTATTATTATTATTATTACTCCGTATTATTTTTAAGGATAATGCTTTAGGGCTGCATATAAGCATTAAATATACTTTCTTTTTTAGTATTAAGTTAACAATTTATCGACATTCACAAGTAAATCGGTGTAATAAATGTTTATTAATTGTCAATTCTTTTCATTTTTAACTTCTTTTATACCGCCCTTAGGGATGCATATATCTTTTTCTTATTTTTAATAAATGGTGGCTACATTAAAAAGGAAAATAGAAAAGATGAAAAAATCCTTTTTAATTAATTTATCTTAATTTTTAATCCAATTTCATTTTTAATATTTTTTAATCCAATTCCTTTTTATTAATTTTTTTCCCAAAAAAAAAAATAAAAATAAAAGGAGTAAAAGGGGGATGATGAGTTAAAAAAAGAAAAAAAAAAAAAAAAAAAAAAAAAAAAAAAAAGCCAAAACCAATTATTCTTCTCGGGATTGGTGGTAAAAGGACTTTATTTTCAGCTATTTATACCCCTTCTTCCTACCCCCCTTAACCTACGCCTCCCATTCATTCTTCTTTTCTTTCTCTCTCCACTTTTTTTTTTTTTTTTCTTTTCTAGGGTTTTTTTTTTCATAGCCCCTTTCATCATATCTCTATGATTATATCAAAACCATATTATATATACCATTTTCTCGTATAATATATGGTTCTATTTTTATTTTTCCACAGCTTTCTTGAACTGCATCTCTATTTTTCATGATATTTTTCATGATTTCGGTAATTCTTGTAAAAAACAAAATGTGAAAATTCTGGGTTGCGGTTCAATAAAGCTGTGGGAAGATACAAATAGAATCACCCAATTATTCTCGAAGAATTTTTATTTATTTGATAGTATATTCAAGAATCAAGATCCATCCTTTATTATTTGCTGATGATACGGGTATTTTTTAGATCTAATTTTGTTAATTATTATCACGGATTTTATCTTTTCAGGGTTGGATTTATAAATTTATTATTTTGATGGGTGAAATTATTTTATATTTTTAAAATTATGTTTATTTTTCATTTTAATTTGGATGAAAAAGGGAGAAATTTCTTCTTTGTTGGTCTAACCCTAGTCCCAATAAAGATGGATTTTTTTTTTTTTTTGAAGTGTATATTAATGGGAAAATCTCCCTTATTAGTTAGACTGAAAAATGAATTGAGGCATGCTCAAGAAAAAAAATATTCCTTAACATAATTAATTTTGTTTTTATTTGATGTGATTAATATAAGTAAATTTTCAATTTCCATTCTTTCATCTATGATAGATATATATGTGTCGTTTTTTTTCAATCGATATGATGTGTATGTCATGTTTACATACGTTTTCATTTGATATGATTTTTATTTGTAATTTTTTTATTAGAGTGACGATGTTGGAACTAATCTTGCATACATACAATACATTCCTTGCACACCTTTTTCTCTTTGGTTGAGTTTTGTCTATTACAGATAGATCCATACAGTAATATGTAGTTCGATTTGAATTGGATTGGACTATGAAAGTTGAAGGAATTTTATTTACAATTGGAGATTTTCACTCTATGTTGATTTCTATCTCTTTCTAGTTCTTTTATTATGTAACTGATTATTGGTGGCCTCTTTTTCATGGTCCCTTATATTTTTTTGCTGTATATTTTGTTTTTTCCTTTGTCACTTTGTTAATGTTTATTTTATGTCATCCCCTTATCTTAACTTATACATATACATATAAATATATATAATCTAAATCATACAATAAGATTGAAGTTAGTTCGTGCTCATTTAAAAAATACTATTGGCACAAAATTCTTCATTAGTTTGAACACACATTGTTGACTCATTCATCTTTATTCTTGCTATTTATTTTCATTTTTGGTTATTGTAAAACTATGTAAAACCTATACATGACCAAATGAAAAATAATATTACATTGTGTTGAATTCCAGGCGTGAGATTTGGGTTCGATTCGAGACTTAACAAAGTTCCAAGACAAAGAAATAATGTAGTCTTCAAAGGCATTTCTTATTACTTGTACTTGAGCTTAGCTTCTATATTATGTTTGATTAGTTTTTTAAAATTGCAATCTTTCTCAATCAAAGAAGCTAACTAAAAGAGGGAGTAGGTGTTCAAATAAGTGCTAATTGCATCAAATTATCATAATTACTTATACCTACTTAAATTTTGTGATTAAATGCTCTCTCTATCTAGGGCATGGAGATAATGTTCAAGTTTTTTCGACCACTAAAAAGTTATAGATATGACACGACTTTATCAAAATAATATCCCTATCGTCAATTTTTAACCTAACATATCTAAGCGCGATATATATATATATTGTTTATTACTTTCCGAAGGAGGAAGTAAGTTGATCCTAGGACATGACATGAAGATATCAATGAAAGAGACTGTATAGAGTTCCTTTACAACTAGACTATGTGATTGTATATGTAGTGTAGTTGTAAAGAAGTATTAGAAGCAGAGAATCTCTTGATACTATTGAATGAAGAAACGGACCACGATATTAATAGGTTTTGCTAGATGACTTTGATGAATTTATCCCCACAAAAATGTGCAAATTGTATTTTATTTGATTTATTTTTAATTTTTAGGAGGCTTTTAAACCATTCACATGGAAACTATGGGTTAGGTGAGGCTTTTATGATGAGAAAGGTACTTGTGAATATTGTGACTAAGATAAAAACAAAAATAACCATCACTTTGCATGAATTTTAGGAGTTTATCATTCATATACATGTAAAGAGCACAATTTGGGAGCAAAAGGGAATACTATTAGCCTTTTGTTTGTTGGAATTGAATTTTTGGTATTTTTTTCCTAGGGTGTGTAAATCTTCATGACCTTAAATCCTACACTCATGTTTATCTTATTCTTCTCAATGAACAAATCGTGCTTTTGTCATATCAAAAAGCTTGAGTTATCGAAAATCAATCAATTGTGATCTTAATTACTTAAGTTTTTCTAAATACAAGTTTAGTTTAATGCCGTAATACAAGGATAAAAAGGCTTAAGTCACGAGTAAGATTCACATTCTTTTTCATATTGCAATATAGATCTTGCTTAAATGTTGTTTTCTACAATTGTGATGTACCTTGTACATATGTAGTACATGTACATGTGGTTTCAACATTGGCCAAGCATGTCGAAAAATCAAAACTTCAATGTATAAATATATGACCAAACTTTATGAATCACTTATAGTGAAACTGTGAAAATGATCAAGACAATATATAAGATCGAGTCTTCTTTAAATGGTTTTTATCCTAGCAAGGAATCAACTACATATTTGCCAAGATCAACAACATATATTATCTAAGGGAAAAACGTTGAATCATGTGGTGTAGGCTCTTCTCACTACTACTTAGAATGGACAACACAAGTAATGGTCCAAACCCTTCTCCCTTTGTCATTTTACCTATTTCTTCATTCAACTATTCAAGTTTTTCTATTATAAGTAATAACAACTACATCATATGTACTCTATGTTGTCTTTTTTCTACTTTTCTTGAACAATTTTTATTCTACTTCAAATAATTACCATTTCTTTGTGTTTGTTTTCATTATTTCATAATTATTACACCAACCCACATTTTTATTTTTTTTACCCCCTAAAGAAAAAAAAAAGACTTAATTTCTATCTATATATTGTAAGTACTTAGATTTCATGCCTTTATTAGTAGAGCATTTATTTATTCTTTACTTTATATGAATAATTATGTTTCACCAAAAATGGATCAATCAATTTATTTTCACTACCACTTTACATAAGTTTACTGATCTGTCAAAGCATATGATTTAGCTAAGTTAGCTGGATCCAGCAGCCACCTCTCTACTTTGACACATTAAATTCTGATATACTATAATGTTTATTTATGTGTTACATTCATATAATAATTTTAGTACAAAGTACAAACATGCATGTTCCTGAAACTTGCTTGATTTGTCTTCATTAAATTCTTAATTATTTTATAAAATTTTTGTTTTTTTAATTGAAGAAAAACCCATCAGCAGAAACTCTGATCTTTGTCTCCTGCATAGGAAGATGCTTAAGTATTGTTTAATCAATTTTTTATTTGCATAATACTTGTATGAAAAAAAAGAAAAAGCAAATAGTACTTTATTTATTTTTTATTTTAATTTATTTTAATTTTTAATTTTTAAGATTGGCATTGGGATCAGTTAATTTTTATACCTAATAGTGTTTCACTTTTTGAGGGTCAACTCATAAGTTTTGTCAATGTTGTTGAGAAAAAGAGAAGCATTTGAGTTAATCTATGTGATTTAGAAAATCTAATTGCCTCTTGAATTAATCAATTTTTATTTTTAAAATAAAATATACATTATGTTTTAAATTTGACCAATTTGTCAAAAAGGCTATGCATTTTGTCTCTTTTTACTAAATACATTTTTGTCTTTGCCTTTCTTTTTCTTTTCTTTTTTTTTTTTCTTAAAAAAGAGGATTAATTAGAGTTAAAGTTGCTTTATGGATGAAACATAATCTTTATCGGGATTATTGTTTTTTTTCTCTTTGCTTTTTATTGTGCTTTAAGATTTTTTAAACATTTAATTTGATATAGATCGATCCTTGGACTAATTTTCACTGCTACAATTCTGAAGACTTGCTTGCTGTTTTTTTGATTAGGTAATTTCATGATCAATTACTTTGAGAAAATTTCATGAAAACAATAATAATTGAGAGTAATAAGTAAATTACGGTTTTATGATTAGGGTAACTTTAAAGGAGTAGAGGATAAGTATAAGGACTTCACCATTTATGCTATCTCCTCTACCTCAAATTAATGCTTCGAAGTGGTACACTAGTACATAGAATTATCAATTCTTTGATAGGGTTGTCCTTGGCTTTAAATTTGTTACCACATATATATAGAAAAAATAAAACTGATGAGAATGACTAACCTATTAATCTAGTGGGTTATACATTTCACCATCTATTACATACACACTTAGTTTCTAATGTTCGTTGATGTTGTAGATAGGTTATTTGCGTTCATCAACGGATTTCAAAAGGTGTCTCATTAATTTCATTAATTTTGTCTACATTTTTTACCAAATAAATTAGTGACATATGTTATAAGGATGATGATTTTGATTTAACTCTTAAAAAGGATATGATTGAGCACAAAAAATTAAAAAGAGGTTAATTAGTCATAATCTATAAAAGAAAAGAGAGGAATCCAAAGCTTAAAAAACCTATCATAACATCATGGCAATTGGCACTATAATTTGCTCAAGCACTTATTGAAAATAAATGGTTTGTGAAAAAAGATAAAGATCACTATAGTCCAATTACATATTGCTTTGAGGTCAAGTCCACCTCAAGATGGACAAAATTGGGCACTAATCCATGTTTTGCGCAATACCCACAACCAATAAAAAAGATGAGTTGAGCACGCGTGGAAGCTTAAATTTTAGTCTTGTCCTTTGAATTCTTCAATTAGCCACAAATTCACATGTCAATTTTTTGTTTATTATAATTTTAATATATGCTTTTTTATATGGTCCATTAATAATGATTATTGACCTTCAATTCTCTTAAAAAAAGCTTATGTACCTTCTTTTTTCTGTTGCTTACTATATTAAATGATAATTAACATCATCTAAGTCCACTTACAAATTCTATTATGTTGTACAATGCATTAGGAGATACCAAAATCAATGAAAGTACATGTATATTCCCTTTTATCCACCAACTGCCAGAAGAAAAAAAAAAAGGTATGAATAGATTTGAATGATTTTCAAATAATTAATTGCATCTAGCAATTTTAGTTCATAAGTGTAGTACATTGGTATTGTAAAGTAATTTCTGAATATTGTATTGATGTTAACAAATGACCTAGGTTTCATAAGCAATGTGTACATGATGCACCTAGGTGTACTCAAGATGGTGCTCCTAGTATGGAGAATGCACGTCATTTGAGTCGTGTGGAAGGGGGCATGTTTGTCATGCCCCATGCGCCCCTTCACTTGTGTGTATTGAGCTTGTCAAACTGAAAGCCTCATCTTAAGCTGGTAATCATAGCCTACTAGGTGCGCAAATTCATTTGGCTTAACGAAAAAACATGTGATCATATTGCATTGATATTGCAAAATGACGTACACCATGAATTATACAGATCAAGTACATATATATCGAATTTGTATTTCAATGTGTGTACATATATGAGTTACTACCTCTGTTTTTTATTATGTGCAACAAAGGAGTATTATTTATGAGACATAAAATATTCCTTTGTTGCACATAATAAGAAGCAGAGGTATTATATATGTTAGTTAAGATAACTTTCGCAAACTTAGTTATAACTCCAAAGCTTTTGTTACAAAATTAGGTTTTCTTTTGGAGATTCATGGTTATTGTGTTTGCTTCCCTTCAACCAACAACTAAATAAATCACAATAATAATCTTTTAAAATTGAATTTCAATATGTATTACTTTCCGATGCATGAGGAGTTTGTTTATGTCATTCGTTTTGTATGAGTGTGCATGGAATAAATGTATAAACATGCATGCATGCCTTTGTTGTTGTCTTTGTAGTTTGAATCGTATGATAGTCATGATTTTACGGTTTTACCACTTAATTTCACCAACCCTTAAGCATCCTTTGATCCTACATTTCATATACTTTAGAGCAAAATATACATAGAATTGTAAATATTATCATTATTTTGTTGAAAATTATAACTCTTATTTGAGAAATAATTTTAGTATTTTTGGAAAATTATCATTTTTAGTTCTTTCTATGCTATAATGATAGAGACTAACGCAAGTTCAAGTCTTAAAATGAAGTTCGACTGCAAATATCTAATGTGATGTGTCAGTCTGCTTTGCGAAGAGACAACTCTAATCTTAGCTAGTTTGTTTGAATTGAATTGTATCGTATCAATCTTATGTTTACATCTCTATATTGTTATCTTTTTGTTCTCATACCTTTAAACCTTCCTTTGGTTAAAACTCTCCAAGATGAAAATCCAAACAAATTTGTTTCACAAAGAACATCCCAACATATAAACTTATTGATTATAAAACAACATGAGAATTATGAATTTTTATATCATATGTCAACATTAAATTAAATAGTTGTTGAGTAGGGCCAAGTTTGTTGGCAAATTTTAGTGAAAACTTAGCTATTTGATGAAGAGATACAAAATTGTTTTTAGCCATAGCCTTAAATAAGGGCAGACAAAATTAGTGTACAAACTAGAGTGATGTGGTTGTCTCTGCAAAAAGATATTGACAAGTTGTTGTCTATATGAATATGACCCGCCAATAAGACACTACAACAAAAGGGTCGGGTCAGATACCCTATCACTTCTACCCATCATTCTATCACATCTTTACTTACTATCACAATTCCTTGTGATTGCTAGTTATAAGCTGTCAAAATTCCCTTTCAAAATGTGTTTTTTATATTATCTTATTTGAACTTACCGAAATTTATGTAAACTCATTAAAATTTACCAGAATTTGTTTACATGTAAATTAAACGTGGTTAGCCTTATCAACCTTATGTGTTTGAACTTAGTTTTCTGATAGTTAAACAGTGTTAAATAAGACATACATTTCCTTCATTATTGAATTTTGAGTGAGAAATTATATAAATATAACACAGAATAATATTTTATTTTGACCATGTTGTCAAAATTTGAAAAAAATATTTAAAATAACTATGTTTAATTATTGACCAAGTTTTGGATGAAATCGTTTCACGTTTTATTATTGAGCGAGTGAATGAGATATTATACAAAAAAGAAGATTATTGTCTCTAAAACTAGGAAGAATTAGTAATTAATTAGCATGCAAAAAATCTAGCTTTATTTTATTTAGCTTTATTTTAGTCTTCAATCCATCCAAAATTAAAATGTTAGTCAGTTAATTCTCATGT